ACGAGGGGTTGCAAGACTGGAGGGGGACAGGGCCCTCTTACCAGACAAAAAGTAAGAGAAATCGATTATTATTTTATATGCACACGTGAATTCGTGGAAATGCGTGGAGACTGGGGCTGGAGACAGCGCCGGCGCCAGGGCGAGCCTCCCTCCCTTAGGGACTAGGAGGCGAGCTCCCAGGAGGGAGCGAAACAGACAGACAGATTTGAGAAACTCGTGAATTTGTATTCATAATTGCAATAGCTATAGTTCCTAGGAAATGGACTTGCGTAGGGTGCAGTCTATAGGCCCTGCCCTAGGGACAGAAAGCACGTAGTCGCAGCTGCGGGCGCAGTGCACTACATTTGGGGGCTGTTCCGGGATGTTTTACTGAAATATTTGTTTCTTCGACCCTGGAAAATGAAATTCGACGTCTGAATGACTGTCTACTAGAAATATTCGCTCGGTAAGGGATGCACCTGCGCAACGGACGCGTCATCGGCCCCACTCCGCAGGAGACTCCATCTATGTCAGTCAACAGAATGCCCAGCGGGACCCCCGCCCATCATCGCCACGCGACTCCAAAGCCCACCGTGGCAGAGCGGCCGAATGGGCATAAGGAGGCGCACCCACAGGCGATACCTCTGCCCAACGCTGTACCAGGAGACTGTCCCTCCGTCTCGTGGGAACAATTCCACTCGGCTATGAGTGCGCTAAGAGCCGTTATGGGGGGGATCGTGGAACCCGGCGAAAGGACTCCCATCCTACCAGAAGACGGCAGCACAATGCAAGCCTTTCTGCTGCGCATCGATCGCCGGTACGCGCTGAAGGGAATGGAGCCGCGTGAGTGGGGAAACGCGCTTATAGACTATCTCGTGGGGCCGGCTCTAACGTATTGGATGTATCTACAGCGAACTATCGATCTAAGCGACTGGACGACCGTAAAGCACCGGCTTTTGGAACGGTTTAACAGAACAATGTCACAGAGCGAACTGCTAACTGAGTTGGCTAAAGTGCGGTGGAATGGTAACCTGAAGGAATACACGGACCGGTTTGCGACTGTAGCGGAGCGGGGTATGAGTCTTACCCCTGCCGAACTCGCGGAATTCTACTGCACAGGGCTACCGACTGACCTCCATCTCTCAATAATTAATGACGGACAAGTGAAATACCTGACGTGGGAACAAGCGGCGACAGCCGCAACTCGGCTCTACGAGCCCAAGCAGAGCGTGTTGGAACTCCGCGAAAGAAACAGTCGAGCTATTAGGGCTGCCATGCAAGCTAATGGACCCCGTGGGAGCCAGGAAATAGAAAATCGCTCTGGGGGAACCCGAGGAAACTGTTTTGAGTGTCAGGATCGCGGACACCCGGCACGCGTCTGCCCCAGCAAAGGGGAACGTACCAAGCGTCCGGGGGAAACCTGCAAGAGATGTGGAGGTGTGGGACACTATGCTCGGGACTGTCCCACGTATGAACGCGGCCGGCCCGAGCCGGCGGACAAGCGCGGTAGAGCGCCCGCCCGTCCTAACACTAAAACGACGGAGCGACTAAACTTGCGGGCCTAGGCGTAGTTGGAGACGAGCGTTCTAGGCCGCGTAGCCATGGCAAGGGGATGATGTGCGCGGTGGCGACAGGCCCCAATGCCATCCCAGTCTCCCTTGAGGGGAGAAACCAACTCCTCAGCACTGCGGAAGGAACTAAGACGAGCGAGGAGCACGAGGAAGAGCCTCGGCCGCTCTCGGAAATGCGGTGGAAGTCTGGGCCAACGTCGATCCTGAATGAGGAGACTCCGGACGCGACGACGGATAGCCGCAGGAAGTCTGCGGAGGCAACGAAAGAAGGCAATGGGTCCGACGTGACAGAGATTCTGCCACACTGGTGGAGGGAGACTTACATGAAAGAGTCTTACGACCAAGGGGGAGTGTTGTGTTGTGTGGGTGCGACGGCAGTACTTCGCGTTGAGCTCGCAGGGAGTCCATGTGAGGCCCTCTTGGACACTGGAGCTTCACGAAGTTTCATTAGTCCCAAAACAGTCGAACGACTGCAGCTGAAAGTGCGGATGCTTCCAAGGGAACATAGGTTCACTGTGGCCACAGGTGCACAGCTACGCATTGACCGGGTTGTAACGGGACTGACGTTGTGGTGCGGACATGCACGTTTTTCCGGGGACTTTCTAGTGGGACCCGTTCCCTATGACTTAGTCTTGGGCTTGGACTGGCTGACGGAACACAAGGTGGCCTGGTATTTTCAGTCGGACAAGCTCCGAACCTATGTGAATGGCCAGTGGTGCGAGTTACCGGTCGTTCGGACTGGCGAAGCAACGCTGCGAGGTGACAGTTCCATCGCAGCCCAGCCAAGCAGAACAAGCGTACGAGATACTGGCAAAGCAAGTGGCGGGTATGTCTGCCGAGGAGGCGGCCATATTCCTACGCCCACCTCCTAGGAGGTATAAACCCCACGCGAAGAAGAAGGCGAAGGCGCGGATAACGTCGCTCGTTCGTCAAGCGGCTGCGGACACAAAGGATCTAAAGGCTCCTATGCACGGTTTGCACCTCATACTGGCTTTACCCGAAGCCGGTCCGGCAATGCCCCTAAGGCTCTCAGATGAGTGGCAAGGCGCGCTTACG